GATCAAGTAACGTAACAAAAATAACTGCAGGAAAATTAGTTCATTTATCTATTGCAACTTTTGGCGATGTAAGTAATATATCAATTAAATTCCTTATAATACTAAATCTCAGATTTAATAAATATAAAATTTAAATTTTATTTAATATTTGTTTTAATTGTACTAATTATATTTGATAGAAATATTGTAATGCAAAATTTCATACATGAATTGGTACATTGTTAATAGAAACAAAAATTTTGCTATTTTAGGTAATTAAAACTTCCACGGCTTATTTAAATATTTTACGAACAATGATGTAAAACTTGTAGTTAGTAATGTAGTTAACTAGAAATATGTAGCAAATTAGGAAGTTGGACAACATATTTTATATAGAATAGAATACTTTTCAGGTAGGATATTAACACTATCTAAATATAAGTAATGTTTATGATATTATGTATACTTCAGATTTTTTATGATTAAATTTTTCAAAAGTTTAGCGGAAATTTTTCGATAATTCGCTTAAAATTAAGTAATTAAAGTTCAATACTTTATACAAAATTTATACTTACTTTCGTAAAGTATTTTCGCACACTTGTCTGAATAACGGCCTCCTGTTAAATTGGCAGGACAAATAACTCGCTGTGAAGTTATTGATCGATCGTGCAGTTCCTCTCAGAAAAAAATATGTCAATATGAACTTTCTCCAAACTTTGCCAGAAGTTGGCGCATGTACCTATCAAATAAAATCTTTGCAAGCACATTGTCCACAGTACGTCCGGTGCGTTCATATAATCATGACAAAGTTTCGACCTATGTCTCGATGTATATCCAGAACTATTAGCTTCAAAAATTACAATGATTACAGTCTTCAACTGGATGGAATGATTGCTCAAACCGATCGATGCTTGGCCACAAATAAACAGCTCAAGCATAGCGTGCAAGATACTCGTGTTATTAAACATTTTCATTTGTGTGATCGTGATGGCATTAATAATGATACCATGCACATTATTCGTATTATTCAGGAGGCCAATATCAAATTAAAACTGAGCGCAATTGCTCCGCTACTTCATAGTTATGGAATCGGTAAATTATTGGATGCTTTTTAAACGTAGTAGCAATATTCGTAAATTAATATGTTATGAGACCGATTGGAAAATTATACGTACGATCGAAAATCGCCAAATAATGGTGCAATATGCTAAGTTAAGTTGTTTTATCGCCGGGATCTGTGAGGTGATTATACATGGTAGTGCATTTCTATTTAGCATAGCCAAGGCGATTAAAATTCATACCCATCATTGTTGGCAATGAAACTTTTAGGATGTATTCATTATTGACGTGTCCGATTAACAGCAAAATCATCGATAAGTTTCAGTCCTGTAAATAAAATCACATTGGTTGGAGCAATTTCTATGCAACATTTATAGTAAATTCATCTACTGTCTACTGTAATAAAGTTTCTCCTGCGGAATTCATGGAATGGACAGACATGTGTCTTCTTGGATATTACACTATTACAGTATGCTAAACAACACACACTGAATGATAATTAAGAGTATTTATACATAGTTATCCTACATAGTTGTAATCCTGCGGTAATTATTTTTGTAATCATTCGACGTCCGAACAAATAATATCGGTGATATTGTTCATTTATATCTAAATAGCATCTCTCCTCCGAACTGTGCATACAAATTTACAGAAAATTTCGATGGCTTTACATTTTTGTTCGCAGAAAATTTGAATATTACGTAAATACAAATAACGCGTTGCATAATTAATGGTATTCATAATCTGATTTTGCGATAATTGTTTTTATAGTTGTTCCGACATGGCAACAACTATAAAAACAATTATCACAAAATCAGAATTATGTAAGATATGATTAGACACTCTCACCTGTCACTGACAATAAATACATCTACTAACGTTGATTTATATTTACACAAAAAAATCTTGTTCAACCATTTTCTTCCTTCGTCTTACAAAATATGTATTAAAAAAGATAAATTGGATGATAAAGATGAATCTATATTTTAATTTTTAAAAACTTGGGAAATATTCTCTCGGAAAAAAGATATCTTACTCTTTATCACGCTTGTTATTATAATTTCTGTATATTAAAATACAGAAATAATTTTCATCTTTATTGAAATTATATGTTTACTCTTTTTAACAGTATAAAAAGCAAAATTATTCATGTTCGGAATTGTACTATTATACTTTATCCCTTATATTTCTCTGATTTCCATATACTCATTTTTATAATAATGTCTGTAGTAAAAAAATTTTTTTTGTCGCAGATTTTTTTCGTCATTTAATTAATTTACCTTTCAATCAATATAAGAGAAATATGGTTAAAATATATTACCGAAAATTTGATGAAATAATGAACTTCTAATGTTACTTCCACGAATCTATCCTTACACTCCTCATAACACGCGATGTTCTCTCAGACTTTGGACAATAGAAACTCTCGACGAACAATTATATCGATTGAATATACACCCCTCTCAAAGTAACTTTATAATGTTAGATCGTTCATCAAACTCTTTTGAAGATCGGCGCAAGCGCTTCATCATATATCGGCGATGAGTTGTCTAACCATCGCAGTGCACTGTGCGCTTTCGTGCAGCGATCATGTCAAATACCAAAAGTGCGCCAGAAAACAAGATATCAAAACAATATAACAATTATAGTTTACAATTTAATCAATGGTTTCTCAAGCCAATTGGTGCGTGGCCACAAAAAAATGCGACATCAGTGTGGAAAATCTTTATATTATTACAAATTCTCATTTGTTCAAGTTTAATAGCATTAATAACGACACCATGTATGTTATATGTATTATTTGAAAAAGTGAACATCAAACAAAGATTGAACGCAATTGGACCACTGCTTCACAGGCTTATGGGCATGATAAATTACTGGGTGCTATTAAAGCGCAGCAGCGATATTCACAAACTAATACGACACATGGAGACAGATTGGAATCTCGCACAAAGAATAGATGAACATAAACTGATGCTGCAATATGCCAAGTTCGGTCGTTCCATCGCTATGATCTGTGGACTAATTATGCAAGGCGGTACGTTTCTGTTCAGTTTAGCAAGAGCATTGAAAACTACAACCATCATCGTCGGCAACGAAACTTTTACGACGTATCCTATGACCTGTCCGGTTTATAGCAAGATCATCGACACGAGATTTAGCCCTGTGAATGAAATCGCGTTGGTTCTGCAGTTTCTGTCAACGTTTGTACTGAGTTCTTCTACTGTCGGTGCTTGCAGTCTGGCTGCTGTCTTCGCGATACATGCTTGTGGTCAGCTAAATGTGCTGTCTATATGGTTACATGAACTTGTTCAAAATCAGGAGAAAAAAAATCATATAACTCAAAAAAAACTGGCACTTATTGTGGAACATCATCTAAGAGTATTGAGGTATTTTACATACTTGTTAGAAAATACATATCTTAGAGCTCTATAAGCGAATTCTTTATATTTATTGGAATAATTTAATTCAATTATATTTAAAAATAGAAAATATTGTAGTTTTATTTGGAATTAAGATAAATTTATTTTTATTTTCTAAATGATAAAAAATCTCTGTCATTGTGTTCACGAAAAACATCGTTTCAATGTGCAAATTATTTGTAAATAAATTCTTCTGTGTTACATTTATACATTCAGTTTTATATCACGTGTGGAAAGTATTATGCATAAAGTTTCGCTTGCGGAATTAATGGGATGCACGACAAGTATGTGCCTACTTGGATATTATACTATTATGGTACGCTAGAACTGTAAGAAAATCTTATTAGACATAAATAAATGTCATTTATTTATGAAAAACCAAACTGTTCTATTCTATTAGAAAATGTGTATTAAAAACAATAAATTATACGATAAAGATAAGTTTATATTTTAATTTTTAGGCTTGGGAAACGCTTGATACAGCAAAATTAACATCTTACTTCATTGTATATTTATCAATGGGTTTCAATATTTTTATATTTTGCTACATCGGAGAAATTATCACAGAACAGGTAATATGCCGAGAATTAAAAGATACTAAAATGTCAGATTTTAATATGTATTTATAACTTTTTTAATTTATTAATTTATTAATTAGTCAATAATCGCATTAAGCAGAATATGTTTTTTGTATGTATTAAAAGTTTTCTTTGCTGAGATATAACTATCCCTGCAGATCTTAATGTATATTTCGCGTGAAGAAAAGTACCAATTGTTGCGAAATAAACGTTCTTCTGAACATGAGCATTCCTTGCTTTTAATTTTCTACTAAATTTAAATGTAGGAACTAATAATAAGGACACACTGAGCGTTCATTGAACTACTTTGTTTCCTAAATGCAGCCAATACTTTTTAAAAAAGAGTAAAATATAATACTCTTATATTAATAGAGGAAAAATTCTACAATAAAACTGCCTTGCTTTTAACAAAATTGAATATTTCTCTTTAATATCTTGTAAATTGTCAGATTCTTTTCATTACGCATAAAAATTTTAACATTTTATATTATATGTCAATTTATGTCAATATATTAAACAATATTTATATCAATTTATTAGTGCAAATATGTTGGGGAAGTAGCATACATGACTGATTGGTATAATCTACATCACAAAACTGCACGTGACCTCATTTTGGTCATTGCTCGATCGAGTAATGTGATTAAGATCACTGCAGGAAAGTTATTCCATTTATCTATTGCAACTTTTGGTGATGTAAGTATGCAGATGTATTATTTTTCTTTATCTTGTTAATAAAAAAATAATAAATTACATCTTATATTTCACTGATTGCAAATGACAATCATTTTATATAAATTGGATTATCTATTATCTTTAAAACATTCATTCAATACATTCAATTATATACATATGATTAAAAATTTCAAATTTTAGTATTATTTATACAGTATAATATATATTGTTTTTATATTGTGTAGAAACAAGCATGTTATTTTTCTAGGTAATTAAAACTTCCATAGCTTATTTAAATCTCTTGCGAACAATGACTATGTAAAAAATGATTGTGCGAAACATAAGTTAAGAAATATGAAGGATATATATTTTATATAGAACAAATTATCACATATTCTAAAGAAAAGATTTAATAAAAAAATCGACAATTATGTCAAAATCAAGATTATAAGCTATTAAATTATTTTCAAAGGTGTACACTACAATTTTTTATGATCCTCTTTTATGCTTGTTATTATAATCTCTATATTTAAAGATACTAATTTTTTTATTCATCTAAATTACATATTTATTATTTTTAACAAATAGAAAATATTTAAGTTCTCCTGATTATCAGTGCGGAAATCATATACAAATTATCAAATTCGTAGTTTACATTTAATTTCTGCATTGAGGAGAATTCAATCAAAATCGGAACGTTTGCAGTTAATTTCGGTGGTAAGTAAATTCCAATTGTTTGCAAATTATACTTTATCACTTTAAAAATATATAATATATATTTACACAACAATAACTGCGGAGGTTCACTTGATAATTTATTTACATTTAATTTATTCTTCGAACTACAAAACTATTTTCATTTTTGTATTTCATTGTACTTCACACATTATATCTAATAATAATGAGTATTGTTATGTAATATTTCAGTTGTATAGCAGACAAAGTATTATAAATTTTTCTTGTGAAATTGACATGATGTATGATAACTACCTCAATCAACTAAGATATCAATTAACTAAGTATGTTGAAAATATATTTAAAAAATTACGACTTGGCATTAATAATTTCTATATGTATATATATATACACATTCAAATATCATATTATTGAAAAAATAGATTTATGGAAAATAATTAAGTTTTTTATATAACTTAATTAATTAATTTTATATATAAAAATAAAGATAATCATTATAACTTTTAAACCTGGAAAGATTTTGATCAAAAAAAACATTCTATTAATTTAAACTTATTGACAAA